TACCGCTTAAGCCACATCCCCAGCCCAGAAGAATTCTTATAATTTAACAATAATAGACATTTCTCTAAAGAAAACATACATGTGCCTATGAGCACATGAAAACATACTCAGCATCACTAGTCATTAGGGGAATGCAGATCAAAACTCTAAGATACATGCCCCATTGTCAGGCCGGCAAAAATAAAGTCAGAAAATTTAAGTACTGGTAAGATGTGAAAAAATTAGAAATCTCCTACAATGCTGGTGGGATGTAAAACAGTAGCCACTTTAGCAAAGTTGGCAGTATCTCAAATGTCAACCTCTGCAATCCTGCTCCTATGTATATCCCCAAGAGAAGGTGAAATATATATCCATATAAAAACTTTTATAGAAGCACTCACAGCAGCATTATTTATAATAGTCATAAAGTTGAAAATGTCCATCATCTGACCAATAGATAGCTAAGTGAAAAAAGTGGGTTGTAAAAGATCACATGGCATATGATTCCATTCATGTGAAATGTACAGAATAGGCAAATCTATATAACCAGAAGGACTGGTGGCTGGCAAGGGCTGCTGGGAGATGAGAATGAGGAGTGACTGCCAAGAGCATGGAGTTTCTTATTGGGGTAATAAAATTCTAAAACTGACTGATGTGGTGGTTGTACAACTCTGTAAATATACTGTAAATTACTGTACCCTTTAAAAGGATGAGTGGGAACTTAAATTTTAATTATGGTATGTGAATATCCTAGTCTTTACTGTTATAAAAATGTGTTGGATCAGAAGTTAAAGAAAGTTAAAACTTACTTGATGAAAAAAAGTTTTGTCGACTACATTTTCTATCTGTTTTGTTTTTTTATTTCCACCCGGCTGCATTTTTATTTTATCACTTCTCGTTTCATTCCTTAGGAGTTGCTGGTGTTGATGCTGAAATGTCACAGGATCTCTTCCAGGAGGAGGATGGCAGTATAGTAGTTTCCCCTACAAAGAACATGGAAGATAACAGTGTCTCCTAAGTGTCATATGTGTTTTCCCAAAA